CTCTTTTTATTATTGGGTTGTAAATTTGCCTAATTTTTTTCATCCTCACCCAAGAACATTTTTTCATTGTTTTTAGAGAAAGGTGGGAGGGAGAGAGAGAGGAGGGAGAGAGAGAGAGAGACAGAGAGCAACATCGATCAGCTGCCTTCTCCTCCCTGCTGACTGGGGATTGAACCCACAACCCTAGCATGTGCCCTGAACAGGAATCAAACCCAAGACCTTTCAGTCCAGAAAATAACACTCCAACCAACCGAGCCATACCAGCTGGGAAGGTACGGTTAGTTTAAAAATTTCCTTTCTATTCAGAAATCATTTCAGACTTTTAAAAGATGCAAAAATAGTATTAAGAACTTCTGCACACCATTAATCTAGATTTCCTCAATGTTAATATTTTATCACACTTGTTTTATTCATTCTATTTGTTTTGTTCTGAAACATTTGACAGTAAGTTGCAAATAAGATGCCCTTTGGCTCTAAATACCCTCAATGTATTTCCAAAAAAAAAAAAGGATATTCTCTTATATAACAGCAGTTCAATGGTCAAAATCAGGAAATGATACAAGGCCAGTAACTAATCTACAGATTTTATTCAAATTTCATCAATTTTTCTTTGAATATCCTTGATCAGATTTAGACTTTTAATTCTATTTTAATACAGTTCTTACCTTTCAGGCATTTGTACTTTTAAAAAACTGTTATTGCCGAATGCTGCGACAGCAGTTCCCAAACTAGCTTACACATTAGAATCACTTGGAAATCTTCTAAAAATTCCTAGAGAAAATACTTTTTTAAAAAAAGACTTAGTTTATTTGTTTTTAGAGAGAGGGGAAGGGAGGGAGAAAGAGAAGGAGAGAAACATCGATATGCAAGGGCAATGAGGATCGAGGATCGGCTGCCTCTCCCACGTGCCCCAGCTGGGGGCTGGGCCTGCAGCCCAAGCACGAGCCAGGACTTGGTGCCTGGGAACCAAAGCGGCAGCCCTTCACTTTGGGGGACAATGAGCAACCAACTGAGCCACCCGGTCAGGGCTAGAGAAAATTCTTAAAAAAAAAAAAATTTGAAAGCATCATGTGTCCTTAATTCAAACTATATTACAAAGCTGTAGTAATTCAGTATTTAAAACAGTATGGAATTGACATAAAAACAGACACATAGATCAATGCAACAGAATAGAAAGCCCAAAATAAACCCCCACATATGTGTTCACTTCATTTATGACAAAGGAGCCAAAAATAAACAATGGAGAAAGGACGGTCTCTTCAATCAATGGTGCTGAGAAAATTGGATGGCCACATGCTAAAGAATGAAACTGGATTTTATGCGACACTATCTACAAAAATTAACTTAAAATTGATTAAAGACTTAAACTCAAGACCCAAAACCATAAAACTCCTTTTTTGAATCTGACACCAGAAGCAACAATAAACAAGTGGGCTACATCAAACTAAAATTTTCTGTACAGTAAAGGAAGCCATCAATGGAATGAAAAGGCAGCCTATTGAATGGGAAAAAAATATCTGTGAATCAAACAGCTGATAAAAGGTTAATATCCAAAATATATAAAGAACTCATACAACTCAACATCATAAAGACAAACACTTTGATTAAAAAATGGGCAGAAGACATGAATACATATTTTTCTAAAGAAGACATACAGATGGACAACAGGTACATGAAAAGATGCTTAACATCACTAATCATCAGGAAAATGCAGGTCAAAAACCACAATATCAACTCACCTGTTGGAATGGCTATTATAAAAAAAAAAACAAAAAACAACCAGTACTGGCAAGGATGTGCAGAAAGGGGAACCCTCGTGCATGCTGGGGGGAATGTAAACTAGTGCAGTCACTATGGAAAACAATATAGAGGTTCCTCCCAAAATTCAGAACTACCCTGTGGTCCAGCAATTCCACTTCTTAGTATTTATCCAAGGAAAACAAAAACACTAATTTGAAAAGATATATGAACCTGCATGCTTATTGCAGCATTATTTAAAATACCCAGCTATCAAAACAGCCTAAGTGTCCACTGATAGATGGATGAATAAAGAAATTGCAAGATATACATGTGTGTGTAAGTAGATAATTCAGCCATAAGAAAATAATGTCTTGCAGTTTGCAAAAACACGGACCCACATGGATGGACTTAAAAGGAATTATGCTAAGTGAAATAAGTCAGACAAAGAAAGACAAATGCTGTGTCATCTCACTTACATGTGAAATCTGAAAACAAATAAATAGACAAAATCCCAAGCTCATAGACTAAGAGAACAGATCAGTGGTTTCAAGGGGCAGGAAAGGAGAGCTGGGAGAAATGGGCAAACTTTTTGTTTGTTTGTTTCAGTAATTTAAAAATATTCCTAAGTCCAGGTCTGTGGGACTCTGGCATCAGTGGTCTTAAAGTTCTCCAGTGACTCCACTGTGCAGACAAATTTGGAAACCGCTGTGTTATTATTAAAGGAATTCTACAGAATATGTTGCCCCTGAGATATTACTCACGATTTACTGAAATATTACTTGAACAAAGGCTGCCAGTGCAGAGAGGGGAGCGGCAGATCATCACCATCCTCAGAAAAGGATTTTCCAGGCTCTCTGCCAGTCCAGGCAAACCACACTCTCCTTGGGGACTGTTTCCAGACCGTTCCATCGAGAAGCAGCTAAGTTTAGAAGAGGCCAGGTCTGATTTTTCAGCCATCACTTCACTGTTCCCTCCTTTTTTCAATGCCTGGCATATGGTAGAAGTTTGATAAATGTCAAAAGAATGAATGAATGGGGTTGTGTTTTCCCCAACCTGTTTTCTCAGGCCTGGAGAGCAGGGAGAAGCTACTAAAATTGTTTAAGGAGCAGGCTGTTAGGCTAGTACAGAAGTTGGCTTTGGAGCAATCAGATTTGCGGTAAGATCTTTATCTTTGATTCTTATCAGGTAAGTGAAGATCAGGGTAACTTCCAATGGTATACACATACACACAGTCTTACCTTGTTAAAGTATCGAAAGCCTCCTCACCTCTCCCTAGAGGAGCCCATATCTCCACAATCCAACTCAATGCCAGTCCTGTTAACTGTTCGCACTCCCATCGCTGTGTAAGAATTCAGCTTTGCACCAAGAGTAGGAAAGTATCTACACCTGTGATGAGGGTCATGGCAAACTGAGCACATTATCTCCTTCCCAAGACACAGCTGCGGCTCATCTCAACCAGCACCCAATCTGCCAGACCCACCCATTATTCAAAGAAGCTAGAAATTCTGATACTGTGTAAAATCTCCCATGTTAGAAATGTCACCTTGAATTTGAAAAGAAAAGAAAAAGCCCTGTCTGGCCCAAGTGAACACAACTGTATACTTTGTCTGAGCACCACTGTAATCTCTGCCCTGGATGCAGGGAGAACTCTTTAAAGGGTGGGTGTGGTCGTAGATACCAAGTGCCAGGTTATCAGGAAGAGACAACAGTGTTTGGGGTGTTATCACATAACAGTAAAACTGACTGAAATAAATTCTACAATGCTCTGGCTTTCCATTCAAATTCAATTTTACAAGTTTTCCCCTTAACTTCCTTGAATTCATACTTGATCTTTTTTTCTCTAACATCAGCATACTTGTTTTCTTTGTCTTTACATAATTTCAAAATAGCTCTATACATATTAACAATTAATCTACTCGATGAAGTTTAAGATTTCTTTGCAGTTTCAGTTGTTCCTTTTTTTATCCTCCCCTGAGGACATGCTTATTAACTTTTTTTAAGAGAGAGGGGAAGGGAGGGAGAGAAGCGTTGATGTGACAGAGGAACAACTGACATGGGTGGCCTCTCCTACACACCTCCATCAGGACCGACACCACGACCCAGGCCTGTGCCCTGGCCAGACTTGAACCCGTGACCTTTCGGTTTCCTGGAAGATGCCCCAACCAACTAAGCCACAACAGTCAGGGCTCATTTGTCCTTAGAATATGTTCCACGGAGATGTACAGTCTTACCACCCTTTCTAAACTCTGAAGAGGCTCCCTTTAAGAAGATTTGTAGCCAACTTACCTATTTCTCCTTCCCCTTGAAAAAAAGTCGTAAACGAGCGTTTTCTGAGGCACAGATGTGGGCCTGACTTAGGTGATCATCTTTGTAAACTGGAAGCCAGGAGCAGACGCAACTGCCCACTAGGAAGAGTGTAGTATGAGAGGGTGCAGAGTCCCGGGGTACACAAACTCTTAGGGAATGGAGGGGTCAGAAATCTGGCGCCAGCACCAGGTTGCTTAGAGCCTGGTAAAGAAGAAGAGGTTTTTACATCATTTAACAAAGCCACTGTGGTTCTCCCGGAGGAGCTCCTGTAACCCGCAGGGGGTGAATTCCCCAAGGCCACTGGGGACCCCAAGCCCTAACCTGGCATGGGCTTCATTCAGGGCTTTTGCTGAAAAAGGATGCTTGCCCTGGCAGGGTGGCCCAGTTGGTCGGAGCCTCGTCTGGTATTTCAGAAAAGGCGGCTGGTTCATCCCGGTCAGAACACAGACCTAGGTTGCGGGTTCCATCCTGGTAGGGGACGTGTAGGAGTCAACTAATGGAAGTTTCTCACATCAATATTTCTCTCTCTCTCTTCCTCCCTCCCTCCCTTCTTCTCTATCTCAACATCAATAAACATATCCCCGGGTGAGGATTTTTTTGTTGTTGTTGTTGAAAAAAAAGTATGCTAGCCACAGAGCAAGGTAGCCTGACCAGGAGAAAGTCACCTGTGCAAGGTTGGGTCTGGACTTGGAGGAGAACGCGTCCCAGTGGGGAACTGAACGTCCTGCAGTGCGCAGCTCCGAGATGGGATAGGATTCTAGGATTTCCCGTGGAGGGCGCGCCTCCCCTGCGCTTCTGGTTTACTTCTTTCGCGCGGAGTCCTAAGGGAGCAGGAGCCACCACTTCTGCCTCTAGCGCCGGAGGAAACCAGTGCCCAATCAAGTGCCCAATCAAGTGCCCAATGGTTCTGTCGAACACCGCCCAAAGCCCTAGGTCCCCGCCCCCGTGGGGCGGGGCCTTCGCCTGCTCCCCTCGCGGCCCTAGGCGCCGCTAGCTTTGTGGTTCCTGCGGTTAGCAGGGGGAGGTCCGAGGATGGAGGACGACAGTGGCCGAGAGGACTGCCTAGGTCGAGCCGTGTGCGTGCTGACCGGGGCCTCCCGCGGCTTCGGCCGGGTGCTGGCCCTGCTCCTGGCCCCGCGGCTATCTCCTGGCTCCGTGCTGGTCCTAAACGCCCGTAACGACGAGGCGCTGCGGCAGCTGGAGGCCGAGCTGGGCGCTGGATGCGCCGGCCTGCTCGTGGTGCTAGTGCCCGGCGACCTGGGCGCCGAGGCCGGCTTGCAGCAGCTTCGTGACGCTCTGCGCCAGCTCCCCAGGCCCGAAGGGCTGCAGCGAGTGCTACTGATCAACAACGCAGGTAAGACGCCCGTCGGCGGGAGACGGACTCCCCAAGTGAGCGCTTGGAACTCTCACTTAGCGTCCCTTTCCATTCTTCTTCTCACTGCCCCCACCGCTTGGAACTTTAAAGGTGATTACTAGGAGTCAGAGAAGACGCCTGAAAAGCCCTAGTTTCGGCGAGGTGTAGAGGAAGACCTGGTGCTCAGTCCATCCCCACCCACCTCCACTCGCTATCCGCCCTTTGCCCTTTCCTTAAGAAGGCCAGGTTTTATGAAACGTCTGTGGAACTTTCCCGATCGCCTTGCTCAGCGCCCTCTGGCGGAAGCCTGAGTCCGGGCATGAGGTCTCCCCGCAGAACTAAACATCTGCGCTTCCGCAAAAGGCTCCGGGAGTTCTCCCCCAACCCCAGAGCAGGGCCTTCTCAGTCTGCAACTTGGAGTGAGTGGGTGGCTCCGGTGTGTGCGTCTGCAGAGCTGGGAAGAGAGAGGCGCCTTCAAAAGCACTAGGGAGATTCGTCCTATATGTCCGGATGGGAAGGGGGTGTCGAGGAATTTGGACAGAGCTGGGGAAAGAAAAAGCCCACCTTGCACTGGGTGATTCTTAAGGTTTTGTTTTCCAGGCAGTCTTGGGGATGTGTCCAAAGGCTTCGTTAACATAGCCGACGCAGCTGAAGTGAACAGCTACTGGGCTCTGAACTTAACATCTATGCTCTGCCTGACTTCCAGCATCCTGAAGGCCTTCCCAGACAGTCCTGGCCTCAGCAGGACTGTGGTTAACATCTCGTCCCTCTGTGCCCTGCAACCCTTCAAGGGCTGGACACTGTACTGTGCAGGGAAGGCTGCCCGTGACATGATGTTCCAGGTCCTGGCGGAAGAGGAGCCTAGTGTGAGGGTGCTGAACTATGCCCCAGGTGAGTGGGGTATTACTGCCATCCTGGTCTCCCAGAATCATCTGGTTCCCCTCTGGGGGCTGGACAAGATACCTAGTCTCTCCTCTCCAAATATTTTGTTCCTGAACCTTGGCCTTAAGGAAAACACAGGATCCAAGGAGGCTAGGGCTGGCAGGGGCAGGGAGCCGTAGTTAGAGGGTACCGAGAGAGCAAGGAGCTGCCTGAACTGGGGGTGAGGCCGGAAAGTCTGAGCTATTCGAGTTTGAGAGACAATTAGGGTTTCAATTTCAGGCCTGTGCCCCATTTCCTCATGTAAAATGGAAGATTCTGCCTGTCTTACTGGGCAGTTTGGAGGACTGAATGTGGTAATATATGTGAAAATAATCCCTAATTGTGAAGTGCTGTCTAATTGTTAGCACTTCTGATTGTTAAGTGGGACTCACCACGCTGGATTAACTTCAAGTGTGTACTTGTCTCCCTGGATAGGAAAGCCTTGAAGGCAGGGACCGTGCCTGACTGTCCCCAGCATCTAATGAAGCATGCCACTGAGGCAGTCTGCAGAAAATATTAGTTGCATGAAGAGCACACAGACATTGTTGAAAGCTGACATTCAACTCGGGCTCAGCTGTGCTGGAATGCTGGTGCGGGGGTGGGGTGGCAGAGAGGTTGCTGGGTAAATGAGATGGAGCCCTCACAGAAGTCAAAGGGTAGTGGACTTTCTAAGGCTTGGTCTGGTCTCCCACCACCCTACCGTGAGGCCACTGTGTCTCTTTCTTAGAAGTGAGGCTTCTATTCTAGGTGTGAGGTTGCTGCAATTAGAAGGTGGTGACAGCTGTTGTATAATGTCTGGGCAACTCAGGTAAGACCCAATAGTCGATTCTTCTTGGCACCCTGGGGTCAAAGAGGTAGAACGACCTGACCAAAGCCCAGGTGTTTGGCTGAGCCAGGATCAAACCTTATCTCCAAATTCACAATCAGTGCCATTTCTACTTCCTCACACTCTCCAGTGCCCAGGTCATCCTCCCTAATGCACACACACACAGTTGTGCTTCCAGCTCAGCACTCAGTCTGAGCTCAGCCTAGGATGTGTTTGATCAACACTGAGCAAATGGAAACCACAGCCAGGAGTGGCTCAGACTCCAGAATGCTATGTGACTGCTCTAGATCTCAGGGGAGTAGGAGGAACCTGAACTCCATGCAAGGCCACCTGGGCCTGCATGAAGGCTGAGATTAGTCCCAGTTTTATATCAGTCTCTGAGAGAATGTTCCACCAGGTGTCCAAAGGGGGATAGGCTGTTTGGAAAGGTAGCAGGTCCCCATGTAGCAGGGATGCACAGGTGGTTGAAAGACATTTGAGGCTCAGGAGGCTAATTTTTCCAATCCTGAGTTCCTTTATTTTCTGCCCTTGAAGCCCATTAACTCCAAATTCTGGGGTGCTGTAGTTCCTGTATGAAAAACAGAAGTACTTGTACGAGTTCACTGACATCACCTCAGGAGGAGGCGCTGGTTGGACAGGAGATAAACTCGGTTGTACACATGGTGGTCTGGAGGGACCATGTTCAGTGGGCACTGGAATTCGGGTGAGTCTGGAGCTTAGTGGTGACACAGTGGAGTCTTTGACCATGCATGTTAGCCAATAGGTGTTGCCTCTGACCAGACTCGAGTCCATCCCACTTCACACAGATGGCAGGGCCCTTGCCTCAGCTACTCCCTTCATCTTCTGCTCTTTACTCCTTAGGGCCTCTGGACACAGACATGCAGCAGCTGGCCCGAGAGACCTGCATAGACGAAGACTTGCGGAAAAGGCTGCAGGTGCTGAAGACAGAGGGGAAGCTGGTGGATTGTAGGGTGTCAGCCCATAAACTGCTAAGTTTGCTGCAAAAGGATACGTTCAAGTCTGGAGCTCATATTGACTTCTACGATCAATAAGCCCAGATCCTTGGCTTCCTGGGGCTCTCTTCTCCCTCTTTCAGGCAGACCCAGAGGCCCTGTGCCTCCTCACATACTGTCACAGTGGCACCACCAGCCCTGCTTTACACAGATAAGCACTTGTGCCTACTGCCCTACGCCCAGACCCAGCCAGCTGCGAGGTCACTGGGGCGCCCGGTTCTCAGGAGTCTGTGTTGAGCACTCTGAGTTAGGAAGAGGTTTGTGAGAGAGAACTTATGGGTGTTGGTGTTCTCTAGGAATATAATTTTAAGAATGGAAAAGTGGGACAAGAAGCTGAAATACTTCAGAAGCTGAAGAGAGGGGGTTGGGTCTCTTCATGGCCAGTCCGTGGGGAAGGTTGGGTAAACTACTTCAAATAGGAGGGACCAGTAGATTCATGGGTAGCCTGGTAGGGAGGGAGGACAGTGCAAGTTTCAGCCCACAGGGATGCCTTTTACTCAGGGTAGCAGGACTTTCTGTTGAACTTCATGGCCTCATTCCAATGCCTTCTCCCTCCAGAACCTGCCCTTTGTTCTGCAGATGGGGTTGGGGCTGAGAGTTTTTGTACATGGCAAAGGCAGATAAAAATAAAATGTGAATTGTCCTTTATTAGTGCCTGGAGTACAGTAATGCCTCTGATACAGGGCCCATGCCAGACTCCCTGGTTTGCTGGGGCTGGGAGTTGTTCCTGAGGCAATTAACCCGAACTCGGGATGCTGCCCTTATTTCCAGGGGAGTTGTCTGGGGGCTGTGTGCCTCTTCTCACTGAGTCCCACTCAGTGGCAGCCCAAGTTCAAACAAAGTTGGCCAAGACAGGCATACCCAGACACCTGTTCCTTCATGCTTTTGCCTACAGTGCTCCCAATCTTTGCTAAGCCTCTCCACCCTTGACTTACTCAAATAGTGTCCAGCCTTCAGGGGGAGGGGTCATTCCTCTGGCTCTCTCAGATTCCCATTTCTGCCCCTTGCCCACATGGCAATTCTCTGAATGGATCTTACCTCCTCAGCGGCCTTACTGGTAGTACCTCTTTTTCCCATGGTCCTGGTCCTCAGTGGGGTGGGTAAAGCCCTGAGAAACCAGGAGTAGGACAAAACCCATCTTTCAGGTGGGTAGATGTGGGCAAGCTGGGGGCTCTGCAGTGGTGGTCTACAGCCCACCAGCCCCTTCCTGCCCATTATTTGGGAGGAGAGAGTGTGGTCCCTGCCAGCCAGCTCCAAGACTCAGCCCTGGGTCTGATTGCACAGGAGGGAACTCTCTTTGCTCCTCCTTGTGCACAGCAGAGGGCGCACTGAGGTTGTGCTTCCTGGAGAAATCCAAGCAGTTCCTTTGGCTGGAGGGAGGTCCTGGGCCTGAGGTAGGCAATGCCCTGCTGGGTTTCCTAGAAGGGAGCAAGCAATCCACACTTTTTTTTCACTCAGTAGAGCCTTTTTACTCACTGGAGTCAAAATCACTACACAGATCCCTGTTCTGCCATTTACCAACTGCAAACCAGGGCAACTGGCCTTTCTGTGCCTCGATTTCCCATCTGAAAAATGTAGATTAGCCCTGGTGTGGCTTGGTTGGGCATTGCCCCACAAAGTAAAAGGTCACTGGTTCAATTCCAGGTCAGGACACTTGCCTGGGTTTCAGGTTGGGTCCCAGGTTAGGGTGCATACGAGAGGCAACCTATCTCTGTCTCTCACATCTGTTTCTCTCTCTCTCTTCCTCCCTCCCTCCCCCTCTCTAAAAGTAAATAAATAGTGCTGGCTGGTGTGGCTTAGTGGATTGAGCACCAGCCTATGAACCAAATTCCCAGTCAGGGCACATGCCTGGGTTGCAGGCCAGGTCCCCAGTAGGGGGTGTGTGAGAGGCAACCACACATTGATGTTTCTGTCCCTCTCTCCCTCACCTTCTATAAAAATAAATAAAAGTCTTTTAAAAATATACATAACATTTTTCAAATAAAAATGTGAATTATAAGGGTGACTTCCTCAGGGGATCATTGTATTAAGTAACCCTGTCTATGTAATGTTAAGCACAGTATTTGCCCCATAGATGCTAATATTAGTGATTCATTGCTTTTTACTATCAATATTCAGATCATCCTGAAGCCCCACTTGCAGCTCCACCACTTCCACATGGCCCAGATGCCCTCCTTGCTAACCTGAGGCCAGAACTCTCACTGTGCTATTCTTTTCTGGGCCTTGGTAGGTCAGGGGTTCAGTCTGGACAGGTTGCCCTGGATTCACTAGACCCATGGGAAAATGCATGAACTGTGGGATCAACAGCCCTCTGTCTAACTTCTTTCTGTGATGGAGATGCTGTGGGTTCTCAGAGAGGGTCCTCTCCCTTTCTGAGCTTTCCTCAGAACAGATGAGCTCTAAAATCCCCCCTCCCCCCCATAAACCTTTCTCCAAGTTGTTTCAAACATGGTCAGGCTGCATCTGAGGATATCAGGTTTGCCTCTGTGGGTGGGGCTGGGCCAGCCTCAGTGGCCCCTTCTGTCTGGTGAGTGTCGGGTGCCTTGCTCCACCTGGCCCCTTTGTCCCATGGAAGTGTGTGGGAAGTGAGCACCAGCCCAACCCCTAGCTCAGTGATCCTCCCACAAGGTTTTCTCTCCCCACCAGGCTGGTTATCCAGGACTTAGGGAGCAGTACCACAAGTCCCCACAAGGTGGCGAGAACCTCCCATGCCTGACACTAGTCCTCTCTGAGCCCAGGGATTTAAGAGCCTTGGAAATGACCCTAGACCTGTCTCTCTTTCTTCTTGTCCTCTAGGATTCTGGGCCCTCATGGAGCAGAGGAAACAGAAGGGGCCAGGATCACTTTCCCTGGCAGGCTCCCAGGCCTCTTTAGTGACCCATGAGCACTGGCCACAGGGATTTCCCAGGCTTCCATCCTTGGCCTGGGCTCAGCCTCTCCAGGTCCTACACTACTGGGCCAGGAAGACGTTCTTGTCAGGCTCAAGGCCATGAGCAGGCACCCACCAGAGGGTTAACAGTCTGTGTTCCCAGAATGCATGGCCTCGCCTTGGCCACTACACACAGGGGCACATGCAAGCACACGCAATACATGCCTGCACATGCCCAGAGCCCAGCTGCCAGGTCGAGCAGGGCCTCAGATTAGCCAAAAGACAAACAAGGTTTTTCTTTGTCTTTGGCATGGATGAGCTGGGTGATGTTTTGGTTTTGTGTTTAAAGCCCCTGAGCTGGGGGCCAGCAGCTGGCCTGTGAGGGGCAGGGAAGTACAGAGAATATTCCAGGCCCACCCCAGGGACCTCCAGCACCTCTGTCCTTGAGCATGACCAGCTGGGACTAGGCTGGTCAGATGCCCCTCCCCAATTCCTGTCCTTTGTCCCTCGAATACAACGCAGGCTGGTGCTTGGGCCCATTGTTAGCCAAGCCTGAAGGTGCCCAGCTGCTCCTTCTTCCCCACTCGGAACCACACCTCCAGGTCATGCTCCATCTCCCCATGACTCACCTCAGGGAGCTGGGCTCTAGGGAACTTCCCTCAGCCTCCTTCATGGAACCACAGCCTCTCCCCACAGGACATGGCCTCCTGCACTAACATGTGTCTAATAAGCCTCAGTCATGTAGCACATGCATGCTTCTGTGTAACATGCCCAAGACTGCTCAGCTGTGGTCCCTCACCAGTGGGGTCCATGTGGTGACAGGGAGGTTGCTACAGTGGGGACCACATGGAGTGACACCTCACCAGTCCCCACTGAATCTCTCAGGGATCCAGGGTGTGGGGGAGGTGGGGAATGGACCAGGCCACTGGGTAGTTTGCAGGGAAGTTCACTAAGGAATCACTCTGGGCCTCGGGCCAGCTGGAGAAGGGTGAAAGGGCTGCTGGGGAGAGGATGGAGTGGCCATCCTTGCTCCCCTACCCCAATCTCAAGGTCCTTCTGCCCACCTACAGTGCTGGGAGGCGGGGCCAAGCCCAGATATTGTCCCTGACTTCTGAAGTAGAGCCCAGCTCCCCCCGCAACCCCAAAATTATTGTTACTTCCCAGCAGGACTCCCCTACTTTGCTCTTTGTCTCCCATTTCACCCATCTTCATGTATTCACCCTCAGCCCTATCTGCCCTTAGTGTGAAAAAGGAGAACCCCCGGACTTCTATTTTCAGGGAGGGGTTGGGGGAAAGGAGGAAGTGAGGGAGAAGAAAGTTACTTTTGAACCTCGGGGACTCCACTTTCCAGGCCTATCATGAGAGTGAGACTCACACAGGGGAGCAGGACAGTGAGAGCAGATAGAGAAACAGACAACACAGGCAAGAAAACAGACAGCAACAGAAAGATAGGAAAATACAGTAAGAGGGCAGCAGCTGACCCCTCTCCAACACTGCCAAAATGCCACGGTCTGGGGAGGTGAACACACAATACAACATACCGATGATGTGTTATAGAACCATATGCCTGAAACCTATATAATTTTATTAACTGATGTCACCCCGATACATTCAATAAATAAATCTTAAAAAAGAAAATATAGTAAGGGAGACAGATTTCAATGGAAGGAGAAAGATCGCAGGAGGAGCCACACACACTTACACACTCATACACTTTTTCCTCACACACACACTCACACACAACCGGGTGCGTGCTCACGCAGCCTTTCTGAGTCTCGCTGGAAATAATCCCGCTCTTGATGCAGGGCCTCAGCTGCACAGGCGGTGCCGAGCTGTTACCTTGCACATCTGTCAGCTCCAAATGTAGAAGCTGTCATAGGATTGTGTGTGTGTGAGAGTGTGAGAGTGTGTGCGTGCGTGTCTGTTCCTCCCAGAGAATTCTGAGGCCTTGGTGGGGGCAGAGGGAGATCCCTGAGGGCTTGGAGGCTCTCCAGGAAGTCCACACCCTGGGAAGCAGGTGCTGCTCTTTCCTGTCCTCCACCAGGAAATCCCAAGGGCTGCTCAGCATTAGGAGCCAGCCCACTGGACTCAGCTTCTGCGGGCTGGCCTGGCCACTTACAGCCACATGGCCCTGGCTAATCAGAGCAGTGGGCCTTCTCATTTGTCAGGTGGGGGTATAAAGTAGCCAGGCCACCTGGATCCCAGAGGGGAGGGGAGGAGCACCTGGCCTGGTGTGTGTTGGTCACTCCTGGGGCATCAGGGATTCTTAGCATCCTGCCTGTTATAGCTGAGAATTCCTTCCATGTCTGCCTCCTGACTCCTAGTGAGGCACCCTGCACACAGGTCCCTCTGGTGGCACTGAGGACATGCTCTCCTCTGGCCTGCTCTTCTCCCAGCTGTTTTCCCAGCGAACCTGAGGATGAGCCTTGGGCACTGACTCTGGGTTGTAAAGGTCTGACAACCTCAGACCCTGAGCCTCCAAGCACAGAGGGGTTCGGCACAAAGCCCAGGGACAGCGAATGTTTAATTAACCCTTTCTTGTAAGGATCCTTGGGTAGGACCCTGAGCTCTTTCTCTCTGGTGACCCTTTCCAGGTTTTCATCTCCCATGTCTCAGGAAGTTCTTTTGTGCATTTGTACTCCCACCTGCTTTCATCTAAGCTGGTCATAATGAGAGTTTACAGCAATGAAGATGAGGTCCCAGAACTGTCCAGAAAGTCCCTTCGCTTTTCACTCTAAGTAGGAGAAAATGGGCCCTGATCAAAGGGACCCAACCCCTC